CCTAGAGGTGGATGGAACGAAAGCGGGGGAGGGGAAGAGTCGGAAGTACTCTTGTGTCAAGAGGAGATTCTGAGTGCTCTCCTGAGAGACGACCGTGCACAGCGAGAGAGAGCCAAAGAGCGAAAGAAGGAGAGAGATAGAGGGGCAGAATGGAGAGAGAATCGGAGAGAAAGAGAGGGAACGCGCTAGGATGACGGGAACCAGAGCGAGACGCATTTGGCGAAACGCGAGGGATGAGACGATGAGCGGGTTACATGTACGCGTGTGCACGTGTACGTGTACCAGTGTGTGGTGCGCGCGCTATACAGAGACAGGAGAGTCACTTGAAGCCCTCGCGACTTTGTCAGCGCTACATGGAGCCTAAGTGCGAACGTTCTTGCACTCGTATGTCGTCCCAAGGAGAGGAAGAGAGGACGAGGACGCGCCGGAGCAGAAGTGGATCTTCGAGGTCAAGATCGAGGGTTCTGCGAGTTTCAGGCTTAAGCACGATCGTTTGCGTCACCGTCGTATAGCGGCCCAGGCTGAAATATCCTCGTTGCCTCGGCGCACCGTGCTCCCTAACACTGTTACTACCAATTTCCTTGGCATTTGAAACCGAACGCGGCAAGTCTCTACCTCCATACACGTTTCTTGCGATTAAAAACAGTTTTTCTAGGAATACAGTAGTTTCTGTAATTGGGAATTACGAACAGGTATCGATATTTATTGTACTCTGAATTTTTGTTAAACAATTCGGGGATTATGTAGCTTGAGTTACAAGCTCGGTTGACTCGATGGAATAGCTCTGGCAAGTACACTTAATTCAATTCAATGTTCGGATGGTTCGAAGAAGTCTGTGTCTCAAAACTTGGGACGACATAGCATATTCATAAATTAAACATTCATTTCCATGGCATTCTCATTGAAACGTGGAATTATTATTAAATATTTAGATACACCGTCCCCTCGGTAACAACCGCTGAGACTTGTAACGTAATTACAGACCGCGGGCGCTGTGTTTCGAACTTTACTTCGATGCCATGTCAATCTACTTAATATATTACTAGGCGATGGATATATGAACGATGCGAACAGTATCGAAACGGAAATACAGCCGTATAAACATGTTTACTCGTTGTTTGACTATATCGAGTACGTGGGGAGTGCTGAGCGCGCTGTTTATCTGTGCGGAATTGAACAGAACGCAGTTGCAAAATAGTCGCATGGGGATCTGGTTGCTGGCGAATTCTCATAGCGGCCAGATAAGGGTGTAGAAAAACACGCGGCCGGGTTACAGGAAACGCGGCCGACTCGATGAGCAATACTTCTGCGAAACCGGACCGTCGGATCTTTCGATACGCGAAATACTCACGGGCGAGATGCTGATGCCGCGAAAATACCGTGAGACACGAGGTCAGCGACTTTTGTAAATCGAACCGTACTCATAACAGGTAGCTCGAATCGAACCGCTGCGCCGCCGGAGTGTATCGTTGCGACGCAGAAAGTTTTTAGCGATTTTATCACGCGTTTTGACACAGCCGTTTCGTCACGCGTTTTCCGGCAATCAATGTACTATAAATCACTGTTTCCCAATTTTTACGTACGGTCCGTCTGATAAGAGCGACGCAGAATTTTTACCCAGTTGGCCGAGCGTTCAGTTGGCTTTCATTATACATCTGACGGGAATCACATTCGGAATATAGAAAATTACAGAACGTACACAAATACTAAATAATTAGAACTACTTATGATAGCTTTTACAAGATTTAAAATTTAAAAATTATAGGAAGATTCTCTAGTAACAGGGAATAATATAAACAAAGTTCTAAAGAAACGTCAAAAGCTAATAGACCCTTATTTACATTTGCATCTCCCAGTATCATTTGTCTTTAACACGAATTATCGAAACACCAACGTTGAAAGGATTAAAAGCTGAACTTACCTCCGTTCGGCTTCAAATCGTCTGGCTGACCCCGATGAAGGTCTGGCTTGGTCAACATTGGAAGAGGGTGAGTAGCTGTACCACCGGCAGTGGCTGCTGCACCCGGCGGTATCCCTAATCCGAGAAGTGCTGCGGACGCCGAGGTAGGAATACCAGGCCCAGGAAGCGCTGGTATACCTGGATGAGGCCCTATCGCGGCGCCCGGCGGGAGCTGTGGTGCATGCATTTGTTGAAGCAACCTCGGCAGGTCCGGCCTCTGTTGCTGCAACCACAGTAAGAATTGAACTCTTGTTTGAGGATCATGTTCGAGGGTGTAAAGCTGCATTGTTAAAAAAAAAGAAAGGATAATTCTTTATGCATATCGATATTATTGATCAATGATTCGTCGTTTTATTATTTATTTATCTGAGGATATAAGGACAGGGCAGTTGAATAGGATCACTATAAACATCGGAATCCGTAAAACAAAAGAACTTTTCAAAACGAAATTAAACCATTTTAATCCTTTGTAATTTTACACCAACGCATAAGTACTTGATATTGAATCTAATTCCAATAACGGTGCTATACTGTTTTTTCCTTAGATATACAAATTTTTTCTTAGGACTACATTTTTTATGTGTTGCTGGGATTATCGATGTTTTAAATGGCGTTTGTGTATAATCTATGAGAATCTTCACCTAGTTTATTTCATTCGCTTTTGACCAAGATTACACAGGTGTTTAGTAGTTAAAGATACTGTTTTCACTGGAATTTTAATCTTTTATTTTTTCAGTAGGAAAATCCGTACGGATTATTGTATTAAGACTGCTCGCCAGGATTTACAGGTAATCGCGGATGCCAATCCAATAATCTAATCGTAATACCGCAAGATAACACGCCACTGAGATAAGACTCGAAGGGGAGATTGGATTGGAGAACAGATGACATCATTGACAACTGATGAAACACGCCTCCGTTGACCGACTGTTCTTATCGTAATCGTTGGATACAGCGGTCGAGGACTTGACGTGCCGGTATTGGAAACACATCGGGCGTATCGGTCACAGGAATCGTTACCCAATTGATACAAACAGATTTCGTGGAATCTTCGTATCTCAGCAGAGTAAATTAACGTATTTGACATTTATACTCTTTTATCGATGAGATAGGGATCGAAGGACATCTAACTCGAAAGCTTATTTGGATTTCATAAGACTTCTAATTAAAAGCCAACACTTTCATTTTTAACACAGAGTTTTAATAATCACTCCTTTATCCTTAAATTTTCTGCATTTTCAAATATAATTTATTACATCCATTAATCTCTTGTCATATGATTACCGATTCAAACTTTCGATGAAGATTTTATTGGTGCATGCTGAACAAAGATAAATATTTTTCGAATCTATATGTTCAAATTTCACGATAAGCGAACATCATCAATGAATACGGAATTCATTTCCCGCTGGAAGATTCTTAAGAGTTCCCAAAAGCAAATTCCACAGAGATACCAAGGCAAGGGTTCCATTAACCAGCCACGAAACCCGAAAACAGAAACTCATCGGCGGAATCCGTGACACGAACGCATGCGACTCGATCATTCGCGTCGGCCATAACGTCTGGCAGCGTTTCAGTGTCTCCGCGAGCAGAACATACAAATCACGGTGTAAACTTCCGGGCTGCGTTTAAATAAGCTTCGTCCCCGTATTCGGGGGGAGGGAAAATCTGAAAGTACGAAACAAGTGGCGGGACTTGTGCGACGTTTCCTGGCGAGCTGGAAACGCGACGGAAGTTTAGGGATCGAGGGTGGGCGGAAGGGGATGCTTTAAACGTGCACCCTCCTCGCAGTCGGTACTTTCCTCGTTAGTTGGCCAGAGCCGGGGCGTCGGTCGAGTTTCAGCTGCCAGACA